TTCTTATAACCTTCTCATCTTAAATAGATCTGATGCCTTGAAGCGATTATATCAATCGTGACCAATGTAAAAGTGGCAGAGAAGAGATAAAAATATGATGATGATGGTGAGATGAAGAAGATGAAAAAGATGTTATCTCAATTTCTCATCTTGTATAAAAACCGCTGATGAAGGATATACTTTTTTTCCCTAAGATTTTGTATTTTTCTCTTATTCTTAATTCATAAGGTGCTTTATGAGGTTCATGAAGTATCAGAGAGGGAGGTATAGCCTCCTAAGGGTATTGAATATTGGTGAATGAGAAAAAGAGAGTCAAGATGTGTGAAGGAAGATGATGAAGAGAGAGAAAGAGAGAAAAATGTAAGATATGAAAGCATAGAAGCAGAAAGATAGAAACTATGGTAGAAAGGATGATAAAGATTAAATTGTAGAGATTAGATGATGATGATGATGACGATGAAAGAAGAGAAGAAGAGAAGAAGAAGAGACGAGAAAGGAAAAAGGTGAGAGTTTGCAGATGAAAAAGAGATAAGAATTACACAAAGAGAAAAATAAAGAGAAGGGAAATTGTATCAAGGAAAAAGAAGAAGGAAAAAAAATATGAGAATGATGCAGAATATGAACAAGTTCCGTTGGAAGGTTCATCTAATATTGTTTATCATTCTGACGATAGGAAGAGGGAATCAGGGAGAGAAAAAGTGAGAGCTAAAGAAAAGATGATAGAGATGATGATGAAGATTGAAAACAACGGAAATTGCGTGTCTATTGTTTACAAAAATGAAGAGAGGGAGAGAAGGAGGAGAGAGAGAGAGAGAGAGAGAGAGAGAGAGAGCAAGAAAATAAAATCTAAAACCTTGTTGATGTAATAGATGTTATTGTTATTCTTGATGATGTTGAAGATGAAGATGAAGATAAAGATGATGATAAACTTGAGAAAACAGGGAAAGCACTTGTTGGCCCTTTAATTGGCTCCTTGAGACCGCTTTGTTGTTATACTTAAAACCCTTGAGGCCATAGACCCATGACCCATGGATAAGACGAGTTTTCTGATTTTTCTTCATCATTATTATTAGAACGAGTTACCAACTCCCTTATCATCTTTTAATCATCATCTTCATCATCTTGATAATCTTTGCTCTCTCTCTCTCTCTCTCTCTCACTCACTATCTTAAATGAATAATAATATTTTGCAAGAGCAAAAACTGCTTTGGATTAAGCCTCAATCTCTTATTAATCTTTAATCATCTAAATCTTTATAATCTTTGATTAAGGTGAAAAAAAGTTTCTCTCAACTTGTCAGGCACCTCCTTCCTTTGATACCTGAATTTTATCAACATTTTACTGTTGTTATTAGTGATTAGCATCATGGTTTATTAATAACACTTTATAACAATAATGAGCATCTTCTAATGATGAAGATAATCAAGAAATTGAAATGAAATGTGAACTTGAGAGAGAGAGAGAGAGAGAGAGAGAGAGAATCTCTCAACTTTCATGGTCATCATGTTTCATTAATTGATTATTCACGTTACCTGAGATTCATTTTATCTGCTTCTTCATTTTTTCTTCATCATGAATTATCATCATCATCATCATCTTTCTCTCTCTCTCAGTTATTTTCTCAATTAAAATAATTGTTTTGTGTTCTGAATAAATAAGATAATTAAAAGATGTAACCTTTATATTTACTGGTCAGTATATCGGTCATTGGATTATTGTTGATTACACTTTGATTGTTATTAATTGTACTGAAAATTATGATAATTTTCATAAAACATGATAATGACAATTAACCAGTTTTTTTTTTGTATTTTACTGAAACTTTACTTGACAATTATATCAACAATTTAACCTTAATTGTTTTACACGATTGGTTAACAATTAAGTAATCAGTATTGTTTAACCTAAATCTTTTTCCTTGCTAATAAAATTTCAAGGTCAATGTTGATTCTAATCATTTCTAATCATGATCATGAATCTTAATCACAATTAAAACAATTGATTTCGTGCAATTTTTTCTGGTTTCTTTGACAATTCTGATTCTGATAATCATTTCAATTTTACACAACAATTAAAGTTTTGAAATATTTTCCCTGATAACTTTGGGTTACCTTGATTATTATGATGATTATGATAAAAATCAATTAAACAAAATCTTTAATTAGTTGGTCAATTATTATTATTGTTGGTGAGCTAATGATTAACTTACCTTGCCAATGAAAATGACCTAAAATTAAGCTAAGGATATTAAATTGTATCATTAAAATCAACGATTAACTAATATTATCTTTCTTGTTGATTGTTGTTTAACCTGCTCCAGGCTTAAGAAATGAAAATCAAATTTAAACATTGAACCATTATCATGAAACATCATTAGCTAAATAATACAATTGATGAATTGTAATAGTTATAATTTGATCATGTTACTGTTGATTGTTATTATGTCAGAAAATTAAATTGATGCCAATGAAATTTGAACAATTTAACATTAGGTAAGTTGAAAGGTAATCAAACTAAGCAACTGAAAAAAATGGGGCAAATTGTCAAAGGTTTATAACTGTATTTTTATTCAATGAATTTTATTTAGGTGTTCATTTAATTCAAGGTTAAAGAAAACTGAATCAAATTCATGATGATTATCATCATGATCATCATCAGATAAAAAGGATTGACTGTTTTTTTCTGTAATATGATTTTAATCAACATCTATTGTTAACCTACATAGCTTGAAGAAGGAAACTTTTTTCTCTCATAATCTTAATATAACTCTTTTGGATGAAGGAAAAGTGATGAGGATGATGATGGAGATGATAAGGAACAGAGAGAGAGAGAGAGAGCAACTAATAAAATATCAATCATTGACATTGAATAGCCCTAAAAATAGAGAGGTGGATGAGGATGGAGATGATGATTGAGTAAGTTCTTGAAAATTGATCTGTATCATCAAATTAGAGGGTCCAAGAGTTAGAATGATGTTTGAGTGATAGAAATTGACTTTACAAGGAAGTTACTAAGATGATAAGGATTAAGAAATGATATTTTATCATTATTATTACACTTTATTGATGAACTAGTAAAAAAATAATGAGAGAGAGAGAGAGAAAGAGAGGAAGAAAGGGAGAAAAAAGTGATGCTTGACGTTTTTTGTTGGCTGATGATGATAATACAAGTTGAATGTCACTTGAAGACGATGATAACAATTATCATCATCAATGTAATAATAACAGTAATAAATGATTCCTGATAAAGAGATAGAGTTAAAAGATTTTTGGTGAAACAAGGTTAACGATAAGAGAGATGATGATGATGATAAAAAAATGACTCTGGTTATTTAAAGATATAATAATAATCATTTACAGTTACAGTAGCATCTTCTGCAAGGGTACCATTACCATGGATGGTGAAGATGATGATCAGATGAGGAAGGATGAACAATCGAAATCTCATTTAGTGATGTAAGAGAATGACGCGAGAGAATCAAAGTAATGAGAACAATCTGGTGATATCAATGATTTCCCGTGAAGAAAATGAGAAGATGGAGCAGAGAACAAAATTACAATGGAAGATGAGAGAGAGAGAGAGAGAGAGAGAGAGAGAGAGAGAGAGAGAGAGAGAGAGAGAGAGAGAGAGAGAGAGAGAGAGAGAGAGAGAGAGAGAAGAAGAAGAAGAAGAAGAAGATAAGTGTCAAGATTGGTAACTTGTCAGTATTATTATAACAATAAAAGTTCATTGACTGAGGGAAGGGATAATTTGAGCCTTGGAATCTGAAGGAGTAACATGGTGAAAGTGAATATTATTCTTTGTTTGGAAAAGAAGATGAAAAAAAAATTTCCTCAAATTCTACAAACATAGAAACCCCAATGGATGCAGATGATGATGTAATGAAGAGAGATACACTCAGTGTGAGACAATATGAGATGATGATGATGATAAGATGGGAGTGGAAAGTGAATGCATATTATATCAAATATAAATAGTTGACACATTTTCACTCAGACTTTCACCCAACATTTAACAATAATGATAATCAACACAAATACACTTACAGTTTACATAATGAGTTATAAATCAGAATCTTATTCATTCATGATACTTGATGACTTTTATTTATTCCTGTGAATCGTATCATCAACTAATACTAAATTCAATTATTGTGATGATCTATGTTGACACTTTGTTGGATTTTGGCTCTTGCGACAGAGTAAAAAGCAAAAATCAATGACACTTTGTGTGTTAATTGTAATGAGTGCGTTTTTTTGTACATTAATTATTTACTAATTTCAAGGATAATTTGACAATCAATTACTTGTATCAATGATAACTGGCAATAATTAACTAATTAACAATCCACGGGTCATCCTAATCTATTAGAAAATGATACCTCATTCTGATCAACCCAGTCAACATTTTTGATTCAACATTGAGTCAAAAACAATGTCTCAATTGCATATTGAGTCAATTTTGAGTCAACGAAAAATTGAGTAAAAATTGAGTAAAAAAGTGTTCAAAAGTAGTCATTTTTTACTCAATTGTGTTCAACAGAAAATCAAAATTTAGTCAATTTTGAGTACATGTAGAGTAATTGATGAGTAAAAATTGATTCTAATTTTATTCAATTTTGAGTCAAAGTGCTTTAAATGACAAATTTGACTGAATTGATCGGAGAATTGAGTTCGTTCCGCTGATAAGCGGAAAAAACAATTGTCGTCTTCATTAATTGAATCATTATTTGCAAGTTCCAAAGTTGAAAATAGACATATTTCATATTGGCTATTTTCAAAATGGGTTTGAAATTCATAGAAAATACTTTTTTCGCCGACTTGCTCGCGATAGTATTTCCATTTTCTGAACTGATTCAACCAAAAATTTTCTACTCAATCAAATTGAAACTTTTCTACGGTCAGAATAACGATGATAGGAAATTTATCTCATAGAAAGTTTTGCTTTATTCGAAATAATTCAATAAATGTTTTTCAAAAAAGAGTAATAATAATATAATGTCAAGTTCTTTTTATAGATTCAAATATTTTGCTTTTGAATATTTCTCCATCATTAGATTCTGTTTGATTCGAATCAAGGTGTTGGTTTGAGTCAGAATCATCAGAATCATTTCCTATGGAGAATTTAACCTTTTTCTTTGTCTTGGACGAATTCAATGAAGATAGGACTCGAATGATTCGCTGTCTAACTTTATTCAAACTCTCTTCTGTGTAGCTCATTTGTCCACTTTTACGGAAAATGTGATCTAGAAGATAAAAAACGAAAAAGATGATTTGATTAATTTCGAGCGGTGAATTTTTGTCGATTAAACCTACCAAATAATGCATCCAGTCTGGACTGTCCTAATTCTGGATCAAAATCACCTTCAAAAGGCTTTTCGAACTGATTAGAAAATCCAAAAACGAAGCAAAGAGGAAGTTTATTGCTCTTTAGACCTTTTCAATGACTTGCTTGAACTCATTCAATTCTTCATGAGTATATAACCTCTTGCCTAGTGTAGCGTTTTCATAATAAGATTTTGGAAGGCCAATCTCGTCAACTGATATGCAAGGCAACAAGGATCTGATCTTGAAAGTTTGATTGCCGTTTCGTACAGATTAAGAGAGTTGCAATTTTCCTCTATGAAAATAAAATTCTAATGAGAAAGAATGAAAATTAATTCATTGAATACAATTATTGAATTTAGTCAACTCACCTTTTTAGTATTCTTATACGTTGAATCTGTCGTCAGAATATGATGTAAATTTTGATTCATCGTTTGATATTTCTCATTAAGATAAAAAACAACATCCTGAAGTAAATCAATCACCGAGCGTAATATAATTCCACTACTGTCAATGTTGGATAAAATTTCTTTTCTTTTCTCCAAATCTCTGATTTTCTCGAGAATGTTGTTCAAAACGATTCTTTTCGGGCTCGTGTTTCTTTCTTGCTTATTGTTTGGCGATTCCTCTGATGAACTAGTCAATTCTTGTTGAATCGTTGTTGAAACTTTTTCACGCTTTGTTTTGTCAGGAAATTCATTTTCACGAGGGCAATTTCGTCCTTCACTTGGGTTTTTATCAGAGTCTTTGGTCTCATTAAGAACAGTTGATGGATTTTTTTCTCCACCATGAGATTCTATTCCTAGTAATTTATTCAACTCGTCACTTTCGATTGACACATAATCTGGGAAATCGTTTTCATATACAGCAGGATCGATATTTATTTCCAGTATTTCGCTTGTGTAATTGATAACTTTTTTCAAGTTTCTCCATTCTGCATTATACTTCACATTCTGTTTAAGTTTTTTGTAAAGTTCTGAAATAGATTCTGAAGCAGAAAACAAATACATGATTACTTTGAGTCTCTTTCTGATGAATATTTTCAATGAAATTACAACTCACCTGCTAGAGCTATGAACTTGAACGAAATACGCATGTAATTTAGTTTTGTGATGAATTGATTCCCTGCTGATTGCACAATTGATTCGTGATTTGTTATTCCACAATTTTCGACATCTTTTTTATCCACGATTATCAAAATCGGTTGATTTAAATTTTTCTTTTTATGATCGGTGAAATTAGGCAGAATAACAGCATATAATCCGTTTGGGTCCTTTCGAATTGTGTCACAAGTTGTTGGCTGTGAATGATTTACTTTTTGCTTCTTACTGAACAAAGTCGGAGATGAAGGAGCAGGAGGAGATTGAGATCGACTGGTTGACTTGGCCTGGGTAGATTGAGCGCCAGAACTTTTTTTAACAATCTTGCGTTGCAACTGTTTTAACACATTTTGACCAGAGGTTTTATAAAAGGAATCAACATTTGGAAATGAACTTGACTTAGTAGACTTTTGCCTTGACTGTGACATTATATGGGAAAATAAATACAAAATTGAATTTGAAAAATTGAACTGAATTGTAAGGAAGGGTAAATACAAGTGTTCACAATTACAAGAGACTCCATTGAGTTTATATCGTCAAATAAACCCAAAGATGAAGAATCTAACCAGTTAAGATTGCATCACAAATGTATAATTGGATAAAATTTTTCCTGTTTTGAATTGAATCTGATTTGATAATCAATTTAATTTGAGTCTCGAGAGACATCAAATTTTTGATCAAAATAGGGAAAAGAAATAAAAGGGAGATGAAAACAAAGGTAGAAAAAAATAGAAAAATAGAAAAAAATCACATTTGAAAATTGGAGAAATTGAAAAAATTAACCCAAAGAATCAATTTCTCAAAAAAAATGTTGATTATGACATTTTGTTAATTGACTTTTTTGTCCTTTTTAGCCTTTGCAGCTACTTTCTGCATCACTAAGGCAAGAAAAGTCTCATCTTCCAGAAGATTCATCATCTCTTTTACACTTTTTCCAGAGCTTGATTCTTGAAGATTAGAATTGCTTTCAACTTCCTTGTTTTGATTGGCACGAGAAGGTCCAAGAACAGCAGTGTTTTTTTTGTCACCCTCTTGTTGTAATCCACCTTTGTCGTCATTTTGTTGCTCTCTCTCATCAATTTCTTCCTCTTCCTCTTCTTCTTCCTCTTCTTCTTCCTCTTCTTCTCCATCTTCTTCTCCATCTTCTTCTCCATCTTCTTCTCCATCTTCTTCTCCATCTTCTTCTTCTTCTTCCTCTTCTCCATCCGCAACCTTTCTATCATCTTGAACTTTGTCTTCCTCCTCATCTTGAGGTTCTTCTGAATCTGCTTCGACGAAAACCTTTAGATCTCTAATAGGTTGAACATTTCCCATCAATGGTGATGTTGGTGCGGACACATAAAGTTTCTCTGAATTGGCACCAGGAGAAATGGAACTTTGTTGAGTATCTTCATTTTGTTGTATCGGCGTTCCAATCATGGGTGAAAAGAGACCAGAAATAATGGAATCTTGATCGCTAGATTTTGCTTTTGTGCTAGGAGATTCTTTCGGAACTTTCTGTGTTTCGGGAATAATAGCTTGAGTTAATGGAATCTCGATTCGTTTCTTTTTCCATAGCGGTCCAGTTGAAACTGGACTTTTAGCTCTTTTTTTTGACGATCGGGTAACGGGTGAGCTTGTTGATTGGCCATCAACACTACTAAACGAATCAATAAATCCTGAAGATTCAGAATGAAGCTCTTTATCCTTGCGAGTTTTGTCAACAGTATTAGTTTTTTGAATTGATTCTTGTTCATTAAGTGAACTATCTGAATCGACCAACGATATCATTTCACTGACTCGATTTTTTGGTACCTTTGACCTTTTTTGATTGAATATTCCACTACTTGAACCAACATCTGAGTCTTCTCCAGAGTCAACACCAGCGTGCGTAGTTTTGATTTTATTCGAGGATGAATCATAAGGCTCCTTATTTTTCTTTTCATACCTGTGGTCACTAGATGAATGTTTTTTTCCATCTTTTATAACCTGTGGACGTTTGGTGCGCTGGTAGTGCATTGCTTTCGAAAACGCTGAAACCATTAATTTTTCTGTGGTCTTATCATAGGATTTTTTACCAGCCATTCTAACGCAGTGATCTAGATAAGCAGGATAAGCATAATTAGTTTTCAAATATCTCTTGATTAAGATTAATAGCTTGTTACTCACCTAGTAAAGCTCTGAACCTAAGCTCTCCCAATTCATTATCGACATGATTCTGCAGTGGGAATAAGAGAGGAGAAAGGTGATTCCAAGTGTTGATTAGCGAATGACGGCCTTTTGTGCCTCGCAATGTTGTTCCCTGTATCCAATGATCAGGAAATGAATATCTAATGAGCAAACTCATAATAGCTGGTGGGCCAAAATCAGGTTCATCTCTCTTTATTTCTCGCTGTTTCATAGCAATATTGTAGCCCCGAGAAAGTACAGGCAGAATACCTTCTATAAGAATAGAATTTGAGTCCTGCTTGCATGTTTCATCTTCTTCCGGAATGAATCTTATACTGTCCACTTCATTCGAAAACGATTGATAAAATTCCACACACTGGAAAGTTTCGTTCATTTTCACCAAGTATTCGAGGATGGATAAAGTTTCTTGAAAGAATTCAATTTTCGAACTCACAGATGATGAATCAGCTACGATTGCTCGAAGCTTCTCTAAGCTTTCATACATCCTACCTTTCTCATTAATTTTTTCTTCCGAATTCATATCTGGTTCCAACAAAGAATCCTCTTTCAATGAATCTTTATGTTCGATTTCATTTTCATAATCCGATGATGAATCATCAGATTCGGAGGAAGCATCTTCAAGCTCAATCACTGAACTGTTTAAGGCTGGAAATTGCTCATTGACTGTTGATTGGCTGGATTTTGCTTTCTCTCTTCTTTCAATCTTTTTAATTCTTTCGATGAATTGGTTGAAATCTTCTTCTTTAGTAAGCATTAAGTCTTTGACCATTGTTCTTACAACCTTAATGTTCTCTATCTTGAACCAATGATTGATCTTTTTTTCAAGTGGAGGTGCTGATCGAGAAGATGATAATCTAGTGAGTAGACACCGAAATTTTTTATACCTCTCGATTAAATCTTTAGAATCATCTACAAGAAAATCAGAATTAATCAGAATTAGAGAATTTTCTTTTCGAGAATTGAGTTGAACTTACCTCCGACTGAGACTAACATAGCATTTAAAGGATTACATCCATCGACGGTTATTGTGATCAAATTTCGAGTATGAACACGATCCTCTCGAATTCCTGATGGAATAGATTCTTTTTTGATTTTGTATCCGAATGGAATAATTTTCACATCACCATTAGAGTCTTCGACTCTAACTACAGAGACAACTAATTTTTGACCTTCCATCAGCTTACAAAGAACACCTAATAGTGATCGCTGACCCGTTACCAATCTTGTCTTTTTTGAACGATTAAAAATATTATTTTTCAACACTTTGTGACTTTTATACATAAACAAGTCCAATAAAAAAACGAATTTATAAAAATCACTAATTAATACTAATTAAGGTTGAAAAAACAAAAACAACTAAAACGTGATGAGAGTAAAATGATTAAGAGAAACACGTTTATGCGAAAAAACCGCTTATCAGTTATTGTTACTAGGCAACAGGTTGGAAAAGAACTTTAATTATTCTAAATTCTATTTAGAATTTATGCTTTTTATGCTTTTTATGCTTTTAAAAGGAATAAAGAGAATAAAGAGAATAGAATAAATTTATTCTATTCTAAATTATGCTTTTTATTTATCTCTTGAGAAGATAAATAAAACTGTTGGTTACTTTGTTTCCATTTCCTCTTTTGATTTGTGTGTTTATCTAAGCTCATTATCTTAAATATTTGTTTCAATTAACACAAATTTGTTTGTTAAAATGTCTATTCAAGCTTCTAGAGCAAATAAACATAAAAGGAAACGTGTTCATCGTTTACTTTGTGAAAATTATGTGTTTGGTTTACCAAATGTGAGTGATTCATCTGATTATGAAGACTCAACATTTCAGCCAAATGAGGATAGTGCTTCCATTAGTGACATTTCCTTGCTTTCGGTTTCACAAAAAGATTCAACGTGTGATGAATCTTCAGTTAAAACTGATTCATGTTCTTCTGATTTGAATTTCGATTGCTCAGCAGTTGAGCCGAAAAAATCAGAATATGTTGAAGCTATTTTGTCATCGATACTAGTATGTCGAGGTGTTTGTTTGGCTTCCTGTGAAAAAATTGTTAGTTTATTCAATATGTATTTGAATAGATTCTTTCCTGGTGAAAATCAATTACCCAACATTAGATACTTTTGGGACAAGCGAGCCAAGACAAATTCCATTGGAGTATATACAATTTGTGAATATAATCATTTCCATGGACCGTTTTTTGGTGAGCCCAAAAATTTTGGATCAATGATTTGTGGTGAACAAAATTTACCTGTTTCACTTGAGCCTAATAAATACTTTCTGCACATTTTGCTCAGAAAACAGTTGGAGAATCAATTACCCTCTCTACCTCTTTCCTGTTTAGATGAATCTATTCATGGAGAAACGGAAATTTGCAACTCAGAGGAAGCGAAAAGAATCAAGGCTCTTGGAAAAGACTCATCGGTAAAAAGATTGACATTTACTCTTCATGCAGATGAAGTGGCTGTTGGTAACAGTTCAACTGCAGCTATTTTTCCAATCTTCATAACAATCAATGAGATGAACAATTTAATCCGCCGTGAAAATTTTTTCCTAACTGGACTTTTTGTTGGCACTAAAAAACCGGCAGTAGATCTATTTCTTACTCCTATTGTAGAAGAGTTGAATTCATTGGCAGATTCACCTATAACTTGGAAAGATTCTAATCAAGAAGATGTTTCAGCAACATTTCACCTGGTTGCTGTTATAGCTGATGCACCAATGCGTGCTTACTTGAGAAATGTAAGACAGTTCAACCATAAACATGGCTGTGATTGGTGTCGGATCGAAGCAACAAGTCACAGGAAAGCTCGACTTTACAAAAATCTACCAATTGAACAGATTCAAGCTCTATCAAGAACTAAAGAAGATTTTATTCTTTACGAAAAACATCTTTCTGGAAATAATGATAATGGCGAAACTGATAAATTCGTTGGTATGATTGGTCTTTCACCTCTACTCAAAGTGAATCAATTCGACATCGTCAGAGGATTTGCAGTTGAGCCGATGCATTGCATCGTTCTTGGTATTTTTCGCTCACTCATTTTTCGTGGATGGTTGAAAAGTGAAGTGAAACAAGTCATGGCAACTGGAATTGATCGAAACCTTTTCAAGCGTGAATTTGGTTCTCGATTACAATCAGTTCGAGTTCCAACTGAATTTCCACGACCAACAAGAAATTTCGATTATCTCAAGTTTTGGAAGTCATCTGAATACGACAGTCTTTTGTGTTATTATTTTTTTTCTTGTGCTAAAGGATTAATTGCTCCTCGTGCCTTCCATAACATTTGCTGTCTTATTAGAATATTTTCCATTATCAACTTTCAAGTTGTTGATCTTCAAATGAGAACCGA